CATCAGTGCAATGACAACCTCTTGCCACCTTCAATCAATTGGTTTTACTCAAAAACTCGAAGCATTGGTACTTCACGAGCTCAACAAAGAAAACAAAGAAAAACGCCTTCAAATTGCTGCTCAACATCTCGCCCGCCACCGAGCAACACATGGACACAAACAGCGCTTTTTGTATCAAATCATCACGGGAGATAAAAAATGGTGTCTGTACGTCAATGTGAAGCACAGAAAGGAGTGGGTGGCCCCAGGAGACGCCGAAGCCGAGAGTCAAGCAAGATCTTTACCCAAAAAAGGCCATGATCTGCATTTGGTGGGACTGGGAAGGCATGGTGCACTGGGAAATGCTTGAACGAAATGCCACTGTCAACAAGAAGGTTTACATTGCCCAGCTGAACTGTGTAAATGAGGCTATTCGGCTGAAAAAACCCGATAGACAAAGTCAAGTCATCTTGCTCCACGACAATGCCAAGCCCCATATTGCCGAAGACGTCAAAAAAGCACTCCAAGAGCTTGAATGGGAGGTTCTTCAGCATCCACCGTACTCTCCGGATCTTGCACCTACCGACTATTACCTTTTCCGCTCTCTATCAAACCAAATGAGGGGTGTTACCTTTGATGGCGAAGAGGATCTTAAAAACTGGCTCAACAATTTCTGCGACACCAGACCGACCAATTTTTAGCATAACGGCATCAACAAATTGATCGAGAGATGGGAGGAGGTCATAAACAGTAACGGAGAATACAGCATTGATTAATTTATTATTATAATTATTGTTTTTTGTTCAAATAAATCTTTATGAAAAAAACTCTACGAACTTCTGTTACAACCCAATAATAGCGATGTTTTAAAATATTATTTTTTCTTGAGCGATCACTCTTAATTTCAAAATAAAAAATCTTCTTATAAAAGGTTTACTTCGCCTATAGCAGACAAAATAATTGAAATATGGAATAAACTTAATATTGAAATTATAAATAGAAAAAGTGTTTTAAAAAAGTTGAATACCTTAATTGATAAATATGTAAAATGTGATTAAACATAAACACTTAATTGGAAAATTTCATAAATTCGTTGACTTATTAGAAAGTCTATTTTTTATTGGAAAATGTAGATGTGAATTAAAAATAACTGATTGCTCTGGTGGATTGATTCCTGCACAATTGAAAGAATTTATATTGGACCAACATAATGACAGAAAACTTACAATACCGCAATATACGCCATCATTGGTTGAATTTTCAGAGGAAATATTTTCAGAAATACCCACAATACTGAGTAGTAACGATCCAACATATGAATTTGAAACGTATGAAGTAACTGTCGGTGAAACAGTTAAAGAACCATCGTCGAAACGTGGTCGTTACACGTCAAGATATGACGTATTGGAATTTTCCATGATATGCGATAGATTTGGCATTTCTGATAGAGTGGCTTCTGCTTTAGCAACAGCACTTTTTAAAGGCCTCAATATCAGAGATACCGACGGTAATCTTATTATTATGGATAACTCGAAAGTAGCTAGAGAAAAACAGAAATGTAGAGATATGGTGCTTCGTAAGAGAAATGTTGGATCTTCTATATTATCATTTTCATTTGATGGGAGAAAAAGTGACTCTTTCATAGAACAACAAATTAATGACAAATTTCATCAGAATATAGTATAAGAGAATCATTTAGTTGTTACAAAGGAGCCTAAAGCCACATTACTTGGATATGTGAAGTTGAATGGTGATAATGCAAAAACTTAACAAAAAACTTTAAATGAATTTTTTGTTAATAAAGATATATCACTAGATTCATTAATTGGCATTTGTTGCGATGGCGAAGTTACCAATAGTGGAACAGAAAATTGTGTTTTACGTCGATTTGAATTGCAATTAGGAAGACCATTGCATTGGTTTATATGTCTACTACATTTTAATGAACTTCCATTACGTCACTTATACGAAGCGTCAGAGAAATCAACCACATCTGGACCTCGTACATCAACTGGAAAGCCCAAAAGATTGTATAATGTCACAAATTGCAGGTAAGTAATAATTAATTTATTTTAATATCTGATATTAACATTACATAAGATCTAAGTATTTCTACACAAACAAACACTATTCTATTTAGGTTGTAAGTGACTTTCAATCGATTCCATTGAAGAATATGCCTCCGCTTTCGGAAGATCAACATCAAAAAGATTTATCTACAGACGTTCAATATTTATATAGGATAGGCAAGCAATTTCCAATGGCATCTGTTCAATGGATTTGGCTAATATTAAACCAGGACCAATATCACATGCCCGCTGATTAACTAAGGCTAGCAGAATATTAAGATTATACGCGACAACTAACAATCCGTCGAAAAATTTAAAAATTCTAGATAATGACTGTTTATATTCCAATGTATTTTAACATTAAATATTATAGTTCTGTAGTAGACGGTAGTCAACTTTTATCGCAATTTATTCAATGGACAAAATATTTATCGCCAAATTTACGTAATATTATAATTAAAGTTGTTGACAATATTTCATATTACGCACACCCAGAAAATGTATTATTAAGTATGCTATTTGATACGAGAAAAGACATACGCAACAGGGCCATTGAAAAAATTCTAAATTTTTGGGATAATTTAGACAATACTAGTTAAATTAAAAAGTACAAAAAACCGAAGATTAGTTACGAGTGTACCAATTAAACCAATGAAATATGAACGATTTGAATGATGATGTTTTATCTGAGCCACCGTTTACACGCCACCTTTCCTATGATAACTTAAAATACCTTTTACAACTTGATGATATGTCAGTGATGGATCCTCTAATTCCATTGCATACTCAAGGAACAGAGAGATACGTTCAATTGCTAACAACTGTTTCGCGAAATGTCATTCACAAAAATCGAGAAAGGGTTATGGCGGTAACTGTAGAGAGCAGAAAAAGAACTCCTCGCTTGGAGAGCAAAATAGACTTCAAAAACAAATTATAGTTTTATACCCTTATTATTTATTACGGGATTGTTTTAAGTCTAAAAAATTGTTGTAAAACAGGATTTCAAGTTTATTATTGATTTTTGAATGTCAAGAATTGTTTGTGATTTTAGAATACATTTTTTTGTATATATTTTTTTGAATATACAGTTTTGAGTTTTATTTTCCAAGCTTTTTTTCCTAACAGATTTTTTGTTATCTATGTATATACTAAATATACTTGAAAAGTAGAATAAAATACAAAATAGAAATAATATTTGTTTTTTTATATTAAAAAATAATTGAACATAAATGGCTATATAGCGACCCCTAGCGGTGGTTTAAAAAGAATATAAATTTCACAAAAGAATTCCTCGAACCAAGAAACAGTTTGGTAGAACTCTTTATCAATATAAAAATCCGAATAAAACAAAATAGAGATAAAATTCTGCACTTTTAGAACGGTAATAATAGTATATTAAACGAGACTTTATTTTTGAAAATTAGGGGTATCAAAATTAAATTTGGCGGTGTGATTTGTTTAGCATTTTTTCTTAGGATTTTACGTAGAATCCGAATATGCTATACGCTTAAAAAAAAAAAATTGACCTGCCCTAATATATATGTATATACAGGCCCGCCCAGAGCTTTTGTGATGCCCGGGTCCAAAAGTTTAATGGATGCCCTATCATACTTCAGGTCTTAAAATAGCAAATAAATTAATATAGTTTACTTTCATAAAAAACCAAAAATCACATTTAATTTTGATTTGCAAGAACAAACTATGATAAAATCAATTCTTAATCGACAAACACATCTTCCGGGCCTTCTTAGCAGCAAAATTTGAAATAACTTCTTCATAATTAACGTTAATGGCTAAATCTGATTCGATTGAAAGGATCATCAAGTAGCTCCTGGCCCATTATGGAACGAAGATAATCTTTGATGATAGCTAACTTGCTGAAAGATCTTTTTCCTTCAGATGTTGAAGCGGGCAATGTTAGAAAGATTCTAAGAGAAACACACACTTGCGGAAATATTGAATGCAGCCCGTTTGCATAAACTTCATTTAGAAGTTCGACAGGCTTTTCGCTGGCTAGAATATTTCTTCTTACGGAAAAAAAATGCCGAACTTCATCAGAAAATTCGTTTTTACATAAGTCTTCTGGGTAAAGTTTAGCCAGATTCTCAGCTTTTAAACCTAGTTCTTGGTCTGTTTGAGATTTCTGTAAAGACAAAGGAAGGAAAACTTGCTACATTCCTCTTCTATTACTTTAAATCCTGATCTCATTTGACTAGTCAGATTGTCGAGTGCAACATTGAAGACATTACACTTAAAGTTTTTTGATGCTTCTTCGTGGTTGTAACCAGCAGTTTCACCTGAGATGATCTTTTTTCGCGTTCTCTTCACAGTAAACATTATTTTATCAAATTTCAAGTTCTTTGCAACTTCTGTTGCCTCTATCAAAATCAGGTCCCAAGACAGACGGATTTAATCCAGATCCATCAATAGGCCATTTAGAATCTTTACTTCATCATCGAGAGTGAGTTGAGTAGATTGAAGCAGAAGACTCACATTGTTAACTGCCATCAAACATTTAAACCAAAAAGTAGTGAAAACAACAAATTCAAAAGAATTCATCCATTTAATGAGATAATGCACTTCATTACTACTTTCGCCTGGAAGGTCTAACTCTTTTAGACGATGTAATGATTTCAAGATCTTTCTTGGCTTTTTTGCTAGTGGCTTAACTGATTTAATCCTTGAACTCCATCGTCTAACAGAAAGTTTATGTAATGATTTGCCTGTCTCCTCCTGAAGAATTTTCCAACGAACTGGGCTGCTACTGAACAGATTGTATAGCTTTTGAATATTTCCAAAATAGGATTTTGCAGGAGCCAATGATTCAATAGCATGTACTGCACATAAGTTCAAACTGTGAGCAGAGCAAGGAATAAAAATTGCTTGTGGATTATTCTGTCTTATCAAAGCTTGAACTCCATTGTAAATACCTGCCATATTAGCGCCGTTGCCTTAGCCTTGACCACGACAATTTTTTATGTCGAGCTCATTCTCTTCCAACACATTCAATATCAACTTTGTTATATCAGATCCCTTCTTCTTTTTAAGTTTTTCTAGCTTAAGGAATCTTTCTTTGACCTCCCACAGCTGATTATCATTGAAATGCAAAAAACGAAAAACAAAAGTTATTTTCTCGCTGTGGGACGAATCGGGAGTGCTGTCGGTGATGATGGTGAGATATATTGATTTTTTGATTTCTCGAATAACTTCTCGAACCACTAATTTGCCGCATTCCTTGAAAAATTCATTTTGTGATTTCCAAGATAAATAATGAGCTTGCATGCGTTTTTCTTCTTCTTGGTGCTTAGCAATAAGATGCATATGATCTTGTAATGTTTTGTTGTGGCGAGCAATTAATTCGAGCGCTCCAAGGAAGTTTCCATTCTCATTTTTGATCAATTTTTGATTGGATCCTAATTACAAACAAAAAATAATCAAAATAGTAATCCATATTTATATCCAATTAAAACTTGTAATTTTGACTTTTAAATTACAAATAAAATAATGCAAAATATAATTTAAAATTTAAAAACAATATTCTTACCCCTAAAAGCTAAGTTTCTTAAAGCTAGAAAAATTATGACGTCAAGAATGCATTGTAAAATTACTTTCCATCGCTTTGTTTCATCTCCAATTTGTTTTTCTAACTGATGCTCAATGGACTTTTGACTTTTCAAGTAAATCGAAGCTGTTTTCCATTGGAGATAACAGTTACGGTGAAAATCGCTTTGTTGATGACTTTTAACGCAATCTGAAAGTTTTTCTCCAATTTCCATGTATACCTCCATTCCAAGACAACAAACTGGATTGAACACCGGGTCTGGTTAAGTTAGGCGATCCAAAAAGGGAGCAAGGGAAACAAAAGAGTGATGCCATAGCCTTACTCCAAACGAGCCAATCTCTTTTAACTTTTTCTCCGTTTCTTTGTTCCTCTAAAAAGATATAAATAGGGAATTTGCGTTCTTTTTGATCTCTTGGAAAATTGCTAGGATTTGAAGAAGGTCCCATCAGAATTATATTCGTTCGATCAGTGTCTGATATTGATTTCCATAGTGCAGGATCGTTAGAGATTGGTATAGAAAGATCACTTTTATAAATTTGTTGGTCATTGTGACAATCAAGTACAAAATCCAACTGATCCTTTTTTAAATGTGATGATGTTTTTTGGGAGTCATCGATGTCATCGGCAAGAAAAAGTTTGTCGGAATTATGGTCTGGCAACTCATTAGAGTCATTGATACCGATCTCAATATCATTGAACTATAAAGAAGTATTAAACAGAATTATTCTAATTATTTTTTCATGAACGCCACAAGATTAAAAAATAATTTAACTACCTGCTTGCATTTATCTTCGATTTTTGTCCAACGAACGCAATCTAAAAGCGTTCGTTTGTTTTTGCTTTCGTTTTTATTCCGAATCATCGCTCTTTTTCTCCCAGCAGCTCCAGACAGCTGTTTCAATCGTGGAGGTCTTTGATTATTCATGCTAAAACTTATGACGATATAAAGAATTTTAACTTTTTAAATTTTAAAAATTAAAAACTTTATAATACTTTGGTGTTATTAGTTGCAGAGAAAAAGTCAGTACTTACAATTAAAATATCCACTGAAGATAAGTTTCTTGTCAAAATATAGTCGGAACAAAATGCAGGCGAGTCAAAAACATACATATGCACAAAAGTATCCACAGGGACGTAAAGTTTAAGCAAAAATAAGTTAAACTATCAGAAGTCAGGCTTTTACAAACGTTAAATAAGAAAAAAAATTTTTTAACGCTTTTTATTCTATCATGCGAACAAAAGGCCAATGAAAACGCGTGCGTTCAAATGGATAATAAAAACCTTGTAAAGTAATAATTATCCTATTTTAAATGCAAACAAAGTTTAAAAGGAGAAAGAAATTAATACACAAAAATTGCTTAATCTTTAAATACGATATCAGCTAAATTTTTTATCATTTCAATAATTTTTTTTAAAGACATGTGATGCCTCATAGACTGTGATGCCCGGGGCAAACTACTACAAATGCCCCTCCTTTTGACGGCCCTGTATATATATATATATATATATATATATATATATATATATATATATATATATATATATATATATATATATATATATATATATATATATATATATATATATATATATATACATATATATATATATATATATATATATATATTTGTTTTGAACTTTTTTAAAAAATAGACTGTTACAAATTGTTTAAAACATATATACATAAATTTATATGTTTATTCATTATTAAATAAAAACAAATATTGGTATTTAACTTGATAATAAAATGGATAAAAATAAAAATGATAAAAAAGAAATTCAAACAAATACAGAAGCTTCTGAAATATCTGTGAAATTAGTTCGTGAAATATTCTCTGAGATGTTTAAGAAACAGCAAAAGGACATTCTCAAACTTATTAGTGGTAATTTAAAAATTACAAATGAAAGAATTGATGGGCTGTTGAAAGAATTAACCGAAATCAAAGAAACGTGCAAAACTTTACAAAATGAAAATAATCTCAGAAAATTTGAAATGGTAAAAACAAATGACAGAGTCTCAAAAATTGAACACACTCAAAAAGATATTGAAAACAGCATAACTTTTACGCAAGATACCCAAGAGGAAAAAATCAATAAAATTGAAGAAAAAATTGTCTCAAAAGTAGCATTTAATGCAGAAGAAAAAAATAAGCTGCGTCAACTGGAAGATCGACTAAGAAGAAACAATCTGCGGCTTGAAGGAATAACTGAAAGCGAATCTGAAAGTTGGAATGAATCTGAAGAAAAAGTTTTAAGTATCTTTGAAAAACAACTAAATGTAAGTGGCGTAGTTATCGAAAGGGCGCATAGAACCGGAAAAATCGGGCAGAGTAAACCTAGATCAGTCGTGATAAAACTCCTGAACTATAAAGATAAAATTAACATATTAAAGAATTCAAAAAAGTTAAAAGGAACAGGAATATTTATAAATGAAGACTACTCTTTGGATACCTTAACCATACGTAAAAAACTCTTTGAAGAAATGCGAGCTCACAGGAATAACGGTAAATATTCTGTCGTTATTTATGATAAATTAGTAGTTAAAGATTTTAAAAAATCTCATAAAAATGCTTAAAGTTTATTTATTTTTTGTATATATTTTTTGTAATTTAAATAGTATTTTTATTTATTATTGCTAAAATGGCGGAAGCCATCAATAATAATGTTTTTGACATATCAGGAAGGAAAAACACACTAAACCGAAGTAATGACGATGATAAAAATATTAAAATTTTTGACGAAATTTTAGTAGAAACGGCTTATTACAATGTTGACGATGTTAATCATGTTCTTAATTCTTTATCATCCCATTTTTCATTATTACATTTAAACATCAGAAGCATAAATAAAAACTTTGATAATTTAAAATTTATGTTAAATAATATAAGTAACAAGTTTAGTATTATCTGTCTGACTGAAACTTGGTGTCATCGAGACACGATTAATTCTAACTTTCAATTATTAGGATATAAATCCATTCATCAACCTAGAGTAAACGGCATTGGTGGGGGCGTATCAATTTTCGTCCAAAACTCATTGACTTTTAAGTACATAGAAAACCTCAAAGTAAATGACGTTGATTGTGAGTCATTTACAATTGAAATAATTAATAAAACAAATAAAAATGCATTTATAACAGCATTATATAGACCACCTAATGGTAATTACAATCAATTTGAAAACCACTTAAACTACTTGCTACCAAAGCTCATAAAAAAACATGTGTATTTATTAGGTGATTTTAATTTGAATTTTTTGAATTATAAAACAGATAACCACGTCGTGCGTTTTACAAATACACTTTTGCAGTACAACCTTTTCCCTATGATTAACAAGCCAACACGCGTGACTAAAACAACTGCATCCATTATCGATAATATTATTACTAACAATTACACAAGCGTGGAATGGCAAAGTGGTATTATTAAAACAGATATAACTGACCATTTTCCAGTTTTTCTGAGTACATATTCTGCAAACCCTGAGAAACATACAAAAACAAAAACTGTATATGAAAGAAAAATAAATAATGAATCACTCGCCACGTTTCGAGACCTCTTACAAGAAGTAAACTGGGAACTATTGACTGATTGCAATGACGTAAATAACGGCTATGAATTTTTTATTCACGTGTTCACTAAGCAATACGAAAAGGCCTTTCCAAAATTTAAAAAAATTATTAAACCTAAAAGTTTGCTTAGTCCGTGGATGACGAAAGGACTCATTAAGTCGTCAAAAAAGAAACAAAAACTTTACCAAAAATTTCTTAAAAAAAAGAACTACAAAAACGAAATAAAATACAAAAAATATAAAAATTATTTTGAAAAATTAAAAAAGCAATCAAAAAAAAATTACTACTCTTCATTACTTAATAAAACATTTGGCAATGCAAGAAAAACTTGGAATGTAATTAAAGAAATAACAGGCGTGGGTAATGTAAAAAAAGACAATTTCCCAAAAAGATTACAAAGAGATGACAATTTAGGTGATGCTTCTGTAAATAAAGAAATTGCAGAAACATTTAACAACTTTTTTATAAATATAGGAAAAAAACTAGCCGATGCAATTCCGGAGGGAAAAAATCATTTAAATCCTTTTTGAAAAAATCTGATTTCTTCATGGATGAGTCAGAGCTTTTGATTGAAGAACTTCGGCAAGCGATTAGTATGCTTAAATCAAATAAAAGTGCGGGTCTGGATGAAATTAAACCTGATGTTGTAAAAGCTGTCTCTGATATCATAGAGAAACCCCTTTTCATAATTTTTAATCTATCCCTAAAAAACGGCATTTTTCCCGACCAACTTAAATTAGCAAAAATAATTCCAATATACAAAAGCGGCGACGACTCAATAATATCTAACTATAGACCGATTTCCATACTTTCCTGTTTTTCCAAAATATTAGAGCGTATTATGTTCAACAGGCTGTACAATTATCTTGAAAAAAATAATATTCTTTATCATAAACAGTTTGGTTTTCGAAAAAACCATTCTACGGAACATGCCGTAATTGATCTTGCGAACCAAATTTTACAAGGTTTTGAAAACAATTGTTACACACTTGGAATTTTTCTAGATCTATCAAAGGCATTTGATACTGTAAACCACAAGATTCTTATCTACAAACTACGTAGTTACGGAGTAGTTCACTCTAATTTAAAGTGGCTTCAATGTTATTTAGAAAACCGTAAACAAGGTGTACCATATGATCTAACATGCTCCCCATTTGAATCAATAAGTTGCGGAGTTCCACAAGGATCAATACTTGGACCTTTATTGTTTTTAGTTTATATCAATGATATTTTTTTGTCTTCAAAAATACTTAATTATACTATTTTTGCTGATGACACTAATGTTTTCTTTTCTGACTCAAATTTAAAAAATATTTTTTATTATGTAAACGCTGAACTAATATATCTTAATGAGCGGTTTATAGCAAATAAATTATCATTAAATATTGAAAAAACTAAATATATTTTGTTTGCTAAACCATCTCAATCCGAGAACCTTCCACTTAAACTTCCAGAACTAACAATTAACAATATTAAAATAAAAAGAGTTTTTTCAATGAAAATACTAGGAATAAATTTCGATGAACATTTAAATTGGAAAAGCCAAATAAAGTTAGTCGAGAACAAAGTTTCAAAGACTGTGGGGATTATGTACAGGACAAAACATCTTTTGAATAAAATATGTTTAAAAAACTTATACTTTTCATTTATACATAGTCATATTAACTATTGTAATATTGCCTGGGCAAACAATCATTCATCTTTCCTAAAAAATATTTATACTAAACAAAAGCAAGCAAGTCGATTAGTTTTGGGCGCAGATAGGTACGAAAGTGCCAAGCCGTTACTCAAGGAAATTAATGCGCTAAACGTATACGAACTAAATATATACCATAACTTGTTATTTATGTTTAAACTTCAAAATGAACTAATTCCAAAATATTTTTATAAAGGTTTCTCTCTAATTAACCATAAATATGAAACAAGACACTCAATAAATAATTACTACATCCCACCAACATCACTCAAAAAATCTGACTTCTCAATTACATGTCGGGGGCCACGCTTGTGGAAGTCAGTTCTTGACGAAAATATGAAAAAAATAAAATCTATTGATATATTCAAAAGAACTATAAAAAAACACTTACTAAACTCAAACATTACATACATTCTTTCATTTTTTTAAAAATAATATTTTTTTGATAAATTTGATAAAAAGCTTTTTTTTTTTTTTTTTTTTTTTTTTTTTTTTTTTTTTTTTTATATATATATATACATATATATCTTTCTTGTTTGATTTTCTCTTTGACTGTTTTTTTTTTTAACTTTTTTTAATAAATTCTAACAAATGAATTTAAATCTACATAACGTTTGGAATCTTTTTAATATATAAATATTTTTGAATATATACTTCGCTTTGTATTGAATATGTATACGTATATGTACTGATTTGTAAAAAAAAAATTCAAACTTTTTAATTTACGCATTGTATACATTTTTATTTTTTTATTTCGAGATTTTATTATTATTATTATTATTATTTTTTTTTCTTTCTAATTTTTACTTTTTTTAATTTTTAATTTATTTTAAACTTTTTAATTTTTTTCAATCTTTTTACTTTATTCCAAACT